GAATAAAATGATAAGAACAGAGGATCTGGGAGGTCAGTCTATGATCAAAACAATTACAATGTGAAAAAAGGTAAACACAGAAGAACAGAGATCCAGGTGTTGGGAAGGCCAGGTAGATTACTGGATAAAATAGACTGTCTTAAATGGAGGGAAGAACTAATGGAATATAAGGTAACTACAATGGGATTTGGGTGGGGGATTTAGTTTGGGTGTTGGGGAGGGCAATACAAGAAGGGGGAGGAGACGGAAGAACAAGATAGAAAGGGGAACACTGAGATAGGTTTGCATGGCCTAGTGGGACAGAGGTAAATAGTGATGCGTACTCAACCTTGGAACAACAGGGCTCTGGGATAGAGGGATCTAGGTATAGTTTGAAGAGGGTAAATAATACTAAAATCCTTGGTTGCCTTAGGAATATTAGTTTCCCTTGCCTACTATTGTAAAATAGACCCTTGAGTGGGATAGAAAGGAATGATGGGAAACATGATTAGAGAAGACTTGTAAGCCTGCCTTCAGCCTATAACTGACTGGAATACCTAAAAGGGATTCTACAATTTGCCCAGTGAAATAGGCCTCATGCAAAGCCTTTACAGAGTATAGGACCTTATGTGGAATCCTGAGTCCCATCCACAACCTTGTGAGGTGAGACATTCCCACTAGAAGGGACAAGCAGGTTGGAACAGCTACAATGACAGAAGATACATCTTTATGATGAACCTGACCTATACTCAGAGAGGTAGTTACTCTAAATACCAACAGAGAGGGAAAGAGTCTTCAAATCAAGTGTCAATGCTATCCGCTCTGTACACAGGGTAGATAGGGACGGGAAACTTAGACATTGGCTACCTAAAATGAGGGGGTGATAAAGGCACGAAGTGACTGACTTACAAGGTTTCAAGAGGGAGTTTAGTTTAAGAGTATGGGGGGAAAAAAAGAGTCCCCACTGCATAGCAATAATCTTGTCTAGATGGGTCTGGTGTAAAGAGATGGGGATAAGATTCGTAAGATTCAATAGTGAATAACTGTTATCATGACTAATCACGACTGTCACAATTGTAAATGTAGAAGTTTTGTAACAAAAAAGGGGAGTGGTTAGTCTTAAAGTCCAGAAACAGAGGACCCTAGGACCATCAAAAGAGGAACGCACAAGCAGAATGCGGGACGTTATCCAGAGAAGCAGCAGCACCAGCGATGGAGGCAGAGATAGGGGCATGGAGAGGGGGAGTGGCTGAGGACTCTAGATTCATGGACTAAGAAGAGAAGGACTAAGAGCTGGTGGCCAGGAGCCAACTTCCAGAATGTGCCCTTTAGAGATGTAAATTATTATATATGCCTGAGTGGTGTTTTTTTTTTTTTTTTGCTTGTGTGTTTTTTAAAAAGCTAAAGTGGATAGAGAGAAATACTGTTAACTGATGATACATTGAGGGGATTATAATCAATGTAATGAAACAAGGTATATGATTTGTTGAATGTAAAACTGATGATATGCCCTGTAAACTTTCACTCAATCCAAAATAAAACCCTTTAATTAAAAAAAAAAAAAGACAAATATTGTAGGAGACCAATGTTAAAAAAAAAAAAAAAAAGATCCTATCAAAAGAGTGGTTTCCTAGGGAATCTGCTGGATCAGTTAAATTCAAGGCAGACAGGACAGTTTAGAAAATTATAGCAACTGCTTTTGTAATTTCTTGATAGATTTTATCAAAGGACACAGGATGATCTCAGAAGTTTTTGGAAAACTGAAAACAACGTAGATGAGAAAAAGGCCAAGAAAGTTTCACTGAAGAAATTTTTTCCACCATGACATCATTCTTCAAGGGTTGCAAGAGTTGGCTTATGAGAAGTTTGTTGGCAAACCTTACCCTATCCATTCAACAGCCCCAATTTCACCTCTTCAGACTTCCTTTTTTGTTCCCCAAACTCAAAGAACATTTGAAATGAACCAGATTTGAGCCTCTACTGTAGAAACCTGAAGCCTTTGGTTACACTTCAGGGCTGGAAATGATCTCACCTTCATGGTTCAATTTTCAGCCAAGCAATCGACAGATGTATAGGGAGGACAACACTAGTGACATATGCACACCATGGAATTTTCAACCATTCAAGATCACAAGGACAAAATTTACCTAAGGACAAAATTCAGAAGTGTTGGGAAAGGAAGAAGGAATGCTACATTGGATCACTTATACCACTTCCTATGATTCTTGTTTCCCTTCCTCCTTTATAAAATGAGTATATGATTTGTTGAATGTAAAGCTTCAACAAATAATCTGCTCTGTTAACCTTCATTCAGTTCGTAATAAAAAGTAAAAAAAAAAAAAATTGAGTCCCTCAAGGATGCCAAAACTGCCGTTTTGAAGTGGCTTAAATCAAAGAGTGCAGAATTCTTTGGGGGAAGGGTTAGAGTGGGGAAATGGCCTTCAGAAAAACATGGAACCAGATGGAAGCTATGTAGAGAAACAAAAGCTTCACATTTTGATATTTTTGTTTAATTAAAGTGTCTATGATCTTAAAGCAATACTTTTTGACTTACCCTTATATCTGGAGTAATATCTAGCTACCCCAAACCCTTTTTCTGGAAATGGAAAGGGTATAAATTATAAATTTAAAAAGAATATTCTAATTATACCCTCCAACTTTTCTGGACATATATATAATTTATATTATCAGGCGTATATGCTTAATATTAACTATTTAAGATACTAGTCCTGTTTCTTCATATATTCATATGAAGGGGGTTCAAAAAGTTTGTGGAAAAATGGAAAATTTCTACAAACTTTCTGAAGCCCCCTTACATGTCTGCTACTCTTTGACTTGACTTCAGTTCCTGTATTTTATGAAGTACTATAAACTCTCA